TAAAATAGTGTTTATGTATAAACTGCTTGTAAAATAAGACTTTCCCCAGAAGAAAATATAATATTATCAGACATACTGTGAAATATACCTCGCCCTGTTAAATATAATTTGGGAACTATTTAAAAAAGAAAAAAAAATCAAAGGGGAGCTAATAATTCTGACTTCAACTGAATGCTTCCATGACCTTGGGGTTAGACTATTGTAGGCTGATGCTTTAGTAGGTGGTTGCCTTGTAGGTTTAATTAACAACCTTCAGCTAGTTCAAAATGCAGATGCTAGAGTATTAAATATAAAAAAAAAGTTATATATAAAAATATGATCATATTAGTCTAACTCTTTCAGCATTGCATTGGCTAACTATTAAACAATTTTTAATAGCTTATATTGGCCATAAAGCGCTGAATGGCTTAGCTCCCCATATTTGAGTAAACTCCTGTTGTATTACAGCCCCTCATGTCCACTATGCTCAATTAATTCTGGACAATTGATGATTCACAGAATACCAAAGAGACACATCTCTATAGCATACTCATAAAACACAAATGCAAAACTTTTGAAAATCAAATCCTTTAAATTTAGGCTGCATTTACTGGGACAACCAGTGTCAAGATTACTTCCCAGAAATACATTATAATTTAAATGGCATCTACACTTACGTCTGTTGGCACCTACGTCTGTTTCGCCTTATCCCAAGGTCTACAAAATCAGCAATCTGACCAGTATCCTGAGCAGATGGCCGTCATGGTCATCAATGAGTTGAGACTGTGAGACTGATTCCTGCAAAGACTCCAGTGACAGAAAAGTCTCTGATGGCAATTGATTGTGTAGGCCAGTCTCAATACCGGCCGGTGAGCTACTCAGACCTGCCGCTTCTCCACATTTATTGTCCTCAAGCCTTTGATGTCCAGACTGCAGCTCTGCACAAGATATTTGGCCAAAGGGGAAATGGTCGTGCCCAGCAGAGCCCGGTTTCTTTCGAGATTTTTTTTCTTTATTTCTGTCAATTGGTGGCTTGTTCCTGGCCAGTGTCACCTCTGGCTGGCTTGGGATTAGAGGAGCTACGCAAAGAGTTATTCTTTGGTGTTTCAGCTTTCAGCAGTGACATTTGATTACTGAACTAAACTGAAAATGACAAATAAACTGAACTACACTTTTAATTTACTAGAACTTCATCTATGTTGAGCTGTTTTTGCTCTACAGAAATAAAGATCAATGAATTTTGTCTTGTTTGTCAACTGTAAGGACCTTTACACCATTTACACCACATAATTTTTTATTAATTTATTGAAAATAGAAAGTTGTTAGATGTCAATTTTAGTTAAATAAACTGTTTAAATGATTTCTGAAAATAGAAAATGTTTCAGTTCATTGAATTCAGCTCATAAAAAATGGTAGCTAAATGCATTTATGTGCTCTTGCAACACTACTGCAATTCATCTGTTCATACACACATGCGCAAATTACATTTAACATGCCTGGTCATGAAAGGTGTAAATTACAAACACATCTGATGAGAAATTTGATCAGTCCTCTGGAAAAGTGTCCAATTTACACATTATTTGTTCATCTAAAAAAGCAGCCTTCTGTGTCCTCAATCTAATGGGGTCATGGTCTTTGAAGTAAGTTAAACAGATGTCCAAGAATCTTATAGTGTTTACATAATCTTAATTTTTTTGTTGAGCACGGAAACATCCTTGAGAGTGATCATTGGGACTCTTGGCTCACTCATACAGGTATCCTGGACTCTGCAGAATACAAAGGAACATGATTCGGTATTGAGCAGGTGGGACACTGGAGGGCAGGTGCTTCCTGGCTGACATTTCATAGGATTTCACAGTATCTTTGAGTTTCAATGCAGCTGTGCCAGGAAAGTAACCAGCGGCAACATGACATTAGGCAGAGACCAGCTTTAGTACAAGACTCAATTTTCCACAGTGATTTGTTAAAAAATGCTCAGAAATATAGTTACTCACAGAACAGATGAACCTTGAGTGTTAAATTGATTAAATAATTATTTGAAAAATCAGAAGAAACATTAGATGTCAAATCATTTGAATCTAAAGAACTTTTAGGATTTTAAATGATCATTTTTTGGAAACACTTTATGTACGCATTACATATCGCTCTTATCATGCTCATCACCTTTAACGGCATCCTAATCTTAATTAGTATGGTTTACTATGGAATCGGCCCATCCCTTTTCAGCTATAACTGCTTCAATACCTCTGGCAAGTCGTTCCACAAGGTTCAGGAGTGTGTTAATGTGAATTTCTGACCATTCTTCTAGAAGCGAGGTCAGGCATTGATGTAAGACGGGAAGACCTGGCTCACAGTCTTCACTTTAACTCATCCTATGGGTATTCTATGGGGTTGAGGTTAGAACTCTATGCAGGCCAGTCAATTTCCTATGCATCAAACTTCTGCACTGGTGTGCAGTCATGTCGAAATGCGATGGGGCCATGCCCAAACTGTTCCCACAAAGTTGGCAGCATGAAATCATTCATGTCTTGTGATAGCGAAGCACTAAGGATTCCTCTAACTGATTCTAAGGGGCATATCCCATCTTGAAAAACACCCCACATCATAATCCCCCTCCACCAAACATTACATCTGATGCAATACAGTAAGGTGATTACCATTCCACTGTCAGCTGCCAGACCCAGACTTTCCCAGCCCTATGGCTGTGTATGAAATTGCATCCTTCCCTTTCTATATGTGAAAAGCAGTATGCAGACCAAGTAGTATACAAAAAATAGTAAGAGCCTACTATATTTGGCAAGATTATGCAGAGTGCATCCGATGGACGCTACACTATCCCATAATACAACATAAGAGCATTTATGAATGGGAAAGAAGTGAAGTGTTGTTCATGCGATAATGACAAATCGTGGATGTGATATGTCCAGAGTTCCATTCAAACTCAATAGAACCAGCGGGCCTAAGGTAAATTCAAATTTAGTACCTACACGAGTTATAGACTTTGGATGTACCCTATGATTTCACATGGCCCACCAATTGCTGGCTGAGTCTCTGCTTTTCCAAATTGCTTCCATTTTGTTATAATACCAACAGTTTACAGTTGATATCATATATGTCATATATCTAATAAATCTATCCAGAAAATATTACTTCACATGCTTTATAAATCGTATATACACTACCGGTCAAAAGTTTGGGGTCTTTTTTTTTTTTCATGTTTTTTTTTTTTTTTTTAAGAAAATGAATCTGTTAACCAAGGTGGTAACTATCAAAATTTATTTAAAACATGTAATTGTTAAATACTTATTTGATAAATATTTATTCATTACTTATTGTATGTAGTTTCAAGTGAAATTGTTAGTCCAGTCGTTATTGCTTTTATTACTAATACCATTAATAATAATAATAATAATAATAATAATAATAATAATAATAATAATAATGTGTGGCCTGGTGGCGCAGTGGGTAGTGCTGTCACCATACAGCAGGAAGGTCGCTGGTTTGAGCCTCGGCTGGGTCAGTTGGCATTTCTGTGTGGGGTTTGTATGTTCTCCCTGTGTTCGTGTGTGTTTTCTCCGGGTACTCTGGTTTCCCCCACATTCCAAAGACACGCGCTATTCACCTTCTTCTTTGCCGACGAGTGGGCGCAGCCATTTGAATCTTTTTGGCTCGAGATTTTCCTGTCTCATTCACTTCCATTCATTTTTAGACGTTAAAAACTTCTCGTTACGCTGCTTGATGTTGCAGGCTGATGTTGCAGATGCAATGGTAACCTCTGTCTAATAAAGGTGCTATAAGCCGAAAAGACCATCGGCTCAGTTGGCGTTTCTGTGTGGAGTTTGCATGTTCTCCCTGCATTCGCGTGGGTTTCCTCCGGGTGCTCTGGTTTCCCCCACAGTCCAAAGACATGCGGTACAGGTGAATTGGGTAGGCTAAATTGTCCGTAGTGTATGAGTATGAGTGTGTGTGTGTGTGTGTGTGAATGTCTGTGTGGATGTTTCCCAGAGATGGGTTGCGGCTGGAAGGGCATCCGCTGCGTAAAAACTTGCTGGATAAGTTGGTGGTTCTTTCCGCTGTGGCGACCCTGGAGTAATAAAGAGACTAAGACGACAGGAAAATGAATGAATGAATGAATGAATGAATGAATGAATGAATGAATGAATGACTTCTGAAGGATCATGTGTTTCTAAAGACTGGAGTAATGAAGCTAAAAAATTCATCACAAAATCACTGGAATAAATTATTAAATTAACTATATTATAAACAGTTATTTTATAGTGCAATAAATTTTCACAATTTTAGAATTTGTAAAATATGTATGAAACAAATGCCACCTTGGTGAGCAGGATAAGCTTTTACATTTAAAAATTGTAGGCCAACTGACCTCAAACTTTTAACTTTTAATTATAGTGTACATTTGAATGATATTCAATAATAATAATTACATTAATATGCAAACTAAATAGGAGTATATTTACTCATATAATCCTAAAAAAAGCAATATATATTTACATTTACATAAAATGGTAAGTAAATAGAATCAATCTATGGGCAATCTTTGGGCAATATATGGCCAAAAAATCTATGAAAATCTGTGAAGAGTCGAAACTCATATCAAAACCTCGATGTGAGTCTACAGTATATCATAAATATTTGATCACATTTGACATTGATTTTAAATACAGCTGTGTATTTTAAAAATGTATTTATTTTATTAGTATTATTATTTTGTGCCAGCAACCCTGGTTAATTTCGGATGTTTTTATTATTTTAACATGCAAAAATCTAACGTTTGCAATATTTGTGATAGATTTTTCACGTGATTTCACAGTTTGCAAATTATAAAAGGCAATGTAAACACATAACGTTATATCTTTTGTGGCATTTTATTATTTTCCCTTTGCTTTTCAAACTTCAGCAAAGGTATTCAGGGTCAATAAAATACCATTGTCTTAAAATACATAAATATTCACGTATAAAGACTTTACCATGTGCGTGACGTAATATCCGGTATACTTAGCGCTCGTTCAAATCTTTAGGGGAGGAAGCTGAAGCTCTGTCCTGCAGTACTTGAGAGCACAGTGAGTTTGACATATTATATTAATGCAGTACTTTTCAGCTGTCAGATAGAAAATAACAAGGTGCACGACTTCATGTGCTATGAAAACGCTAGATCGCTTGCACTGATTAACTTAACCAGGGAGTAAGCGAGAGCAAAAGCTAACTTGTTTACATCTGTTTCACTTTTTCTGGCTCTGCATTAGCTTCATTTGCTTGGCATAAAGAAATGCATTCAAACAAACTTAAGCTATAATAAATATTCATGCAGTATCTTGAGCTTTTATATAAATATAATAGACTATAACCGGAAATATAAGTGATAACTGTTTACTAAAGTGAACATAGTTAAACGCGAGCGATTTTATTTCACTGTTATGATCAGTTTAATATCTTTGACATTAATGTCAGATGCTGTTTACACAAATGTCAATGTATTAACGTAGGTACATATAAAGGCCAACAGTCATTGCATCTAAACAACCTTTTCCTCACCGTGGATTCAGAGAAAATAAATTATCCGTATCTCCTTTCCCTCGCTGTCATTATCGTTTAGCATGTGCTGTAGCTGTATTGAATGTGCCAGAGGAGCTGTTTTCTCTAACATTAGCTGCTGTGATGTTGGCATTATTACTGAAGCGTTTTGTTAACAGACGTTTGTATAGTCGCATTGATATGTTCTTTAAGCATTTTGCTTTTTTTTTCACTGGATATTTTGGTCCAAAACAATATGTGGAAAGTTGTTAGTCAGATGTAAGTATAAGATATGTATTTATAGACTTTGTTAGTTTTTACATAGACACTATGGCACGAAGACAGTGACATTTCATTCATTCATTTGCTTTTTGGCTAAATGATAGTCCCTTTATTAATCTGAGTTCGCCACAGTGGAATGAACCGCCAACTTATTTAGCATATGTTTTACACAGCGGATGCCCGTCCAGCCACAACCCATTACTGGGAAACATCCATGCACACTCATTCACACACTCATGCACTACTGTCAATTTTAGCATACCCAATTCACCTGTACCACATGTCTTTGGAGTGTTGTGGAAATCGAAACACCCGGAGGAATCCCACGCGAACATGGGTAGAATATGCAAACTCCACACAGAAATGCCAGCTGACAATGCTGAGGCTGGAACCAGTGACCTTTTTGCTGTTAAAAGAACGTGCTACCCACTGCACCACCTCATCACCACAGTAACATTTAATTAATATAATTCCATTCTGTAGGCATTAATTATTTTTTCAAGGAGACTTTTTTTTTTTTTTTTGCAGAAATTAAGTATAATTTATTTTTAATAAAACTACTTTACTGCAGTTATCAGTTCAACTTCAGCTTTAAACAACTTCTCTTGCTGACTTGCTGTTTTTTATCACATCAGAAAGATTTAAAAAGTGTGGATGACAAAAAACATCTAAAAATTATTTGTCAGTTAAATTAAACCAATATCGCAATATCAGCTGTGGCTTCAAAGGTTCCATCCTCTGAGTTTGGAGATATCTTGTCTTAAGCTTCCTGTTTCCTTTATTTTGTTATTCAGAACATTGTAGATGTAATGCGCATTGCAGAATGAAATTAAGTTACATCGACACTCCGCAAGAAAATAAAAGTCAAATAATTATGAAAAACAAGAACAACTTAGCAGCAGTAAACACTAAAGACCTAATATAAAAAATAAGCATTGTGATATATATATATATATATATGGAATGAACCGCCAACTCATTGAGCATACGCGTGCATTTTTACCAACCAAGTTTGTCAACGCCATTATATCGACACAGACCACTCTGCTTATTCATGCCAGAGTCCCTTGGACTCGGAAAAAGTGATAGAGAAGCAAAGTGTTAATTTGTGTGTAACCTATATTTATTTATTTAGTACTTGGTTATGGGTAAAACAAAGACCACGCGGGTCAGGTAGTTAAAATGGTAGGCTACAAATAATAAATCCGTTATGAATTATTTATTAATAATTAATTAGTTCACTGCACACACACACACACACACATACACATATATATATATATATATATATATATATATATATATGTGTGTGTGTGTGTGTGTGTGTGTGTGTGTGTATGTGTGTGTATATATATCTAACGAGTCGACTCTTCTGTTTTTTAATCTATCAGGTAACGTATCACAGCATCGGTAAACTGCTTAAATCTTTTGCTTTCACGCTTGTTGTGAAAACCTCAGATACTGTTGGTTGGTTCCTGTTGATTGTGCACTTTTTTTACCAAGTTTGTCGACGCCATTATAACGACACAGATCACTCTGCCAGAGTCCCATGGAAAAAGTGATTGACAGGTGGTATTTTGTGTGTAACTTATCTTTATTTATTTATGATTTGGCTATGGTAAAACAAAGAACTTGCGAGTCAGGTAGTTCAAACGGTATTCTACAAATATTTAGTTTGTTATGAATTAATTATTTTTTCATAAATAATTCACCATCCCGTAAAACGACGATGCCGCGTCCATCGCAATGTTTTACAATAGACATCGTACAAGACCAAATTGGTCAACATCACCTAACCCTACTTGGTATTACGATACTTCAGCTTGTATAGTATCATAATGTGAATTAACGGTATAGCGACAACCCAACACAATCTCACGGCAATTCGTAACTTTTTCATTCAGTGGCTAATTCGTACAAATTCGTACGATATAATTCGTACATTTTAGTATGATTTGCGTATCCCCCAATGACGGTTGGGTTTAGGTGCCACGCCTCCTTTTTAAAATCGTACATTTTCTTACGACTGAACTTGTACGAATTCGTACGAATTAGCCACTAAACTGCCAAAACATAAAATACTTACGTTTTCTCGTGAGATCAGGCTGGACAACCCTAGTGTGTTTATGGTGTTAATTGGTGAAGTTCCTTTTGAATCTTTTGGTTTTGTGGTTCTGGTTTTAGAAAGGGCAAAATAATGTCTTGTCTGGGTTAATTAATTCTTGTTTGGAGTTGAGGAATCCCTTCAGGAATTAATTAGACACACCATGTATTGATTTTTCTGTGTTTTGCTGAATTCTGTGCTTTTAACAGAAAAGCCTAATTCACTTTGTGCAGGCTTAGTTCCTTTCCGTTCCACTTTGGAGGTTTCAATTTCCTTTTTGGAGTGCCTTGGAGAAATGCGTAGGAATATTCATAAGCACTAACAACATCACTACGGTTCATCCTGATGCCCTGTGTAATGATGTCTTCCGTATGTTGTCTGGGGGCGAGTAACTGGATGTTGCAAGAAATGTATTCGCGATGCCAAGCCTTATAAATACAATTTTTTTTGCAGTGACTGATTTGGGACCAGGAATTTGAACATCAGTTTAGTTCAGTCACTGATGATTGTCACGGTTCTCTACTTCTGAATGAAGGTGAGGTGACACCTGACAGAGTTAATTTCAGTCCTTTTAAACGACTCTTAGATTCATTGAGTCTGCTTTCAGTCAAGTGGAAATTGTTTGGATTTATCCGCTTTTCATTGGAATGAGAGGTCAGGTCAGGTCAGGGGTTGACTTTCCGTTCACACATGATTATCATGTTGAGTTTTATTTAAAAAACACTCTTCAAGGTCAGTGAAGATGGATTACCCATAAGCCCACTCAGTTTAGCGCACTCTTTCTCTCGCTTTAAACATGAATTATCTGGGGACCACTAGTCAGGTGGTGTTCTCAACAGATACATTCAAATCTGTGTGTTGCCATTGTCAAGGGAGTTGAGACTTAGCCTATTGGTTCCACTTCCAGCTCTCTGCTGCTCTTCCTGTTTAGAGGTGTAAATATGTTTCATCGTTTGATGTTGTTATGAGGTACAGCATTGTGCATAGGGTTAAGAATTCAAAATACTTAGATTAAGAATTGAATACTTCATGTGTAAATACTTTGTGTGTCTTTATTGGGTTTTTAATCATTTTATTCTATTAAAAGCAGCATTCGCAGATGCAAATGTTGCCTCAAACATTGCATGATGCCAGTACTTATGTTGGATGATTGCTTTTTTCTGTGTGATTAGTTCCTGCTCTTTTGCATAAAATTTTTAAACAAAGACACATCATTTTATATAATCAACCAATGCTAAAGCATAATTGTTGGAGATAATAATTGCAAAAAAGTGTGCTTAATGATATTGGATATGCATGTATTTATTAAATTACTTTATTATAACTGAATAAACATTAATTTAATAGAGACAGTGCATCCAAAAAGTATAGTGCTTCACTTTTTCCACATTTTTTATGTTACAGCCTTATTCCAAAATTGATTCAATTAATTTATTTTGTCAAAATTCTACACACAATACCCTAATAGTTCTGACTTCAACTGTATGCTGCTTGTGCTTTTTTAATTAGCCAACCATATCTGTTTTTGGTTATGTTAACCGTTTCTGAAAGGTTTTAACATGTGGTATGCTGCTTTAGTCCATCCAAGTTATGACTGTTTTTTACTTGTCAACATATATGTGTATATATAGACGTATATCAATTACTTTTTTGTATTTTTACAGATATAATCAAAGGCATGCCTGTAGAAAAAGTCAACAATTCATCTGACTTAGACACCAAGGTCCCTTCTTGTCTCCAACTCACATCTATTGGACAACTCACACTGACCTCTGACCCCTCACACAGATGTGTTAAGGTTTGATGTTGCTATCTTTGGTTTCTCTTTAACAATCACAGGCTACCTTAACTGTAGGGATGGGTACCGAAACTCGGTACTTTATCGGTATCGGTGCCTTATTATAAAAGACTAGGGTTGTAACGATTTATCGTTGTACGATTTATTGCGATGCAAAAATGTCACAATATGCATCGTGGCATTATGACGATTTCATTACGATACGACGTCCGTTTTCTCTTATTAGTTGAGCTGTTTGCACGTGAGCTACGTTCCACCTGCTGTCGCACGTGAGTTCATATTGCAGCAGCAGTAATGTTAGCAGACCAAGATGAGTGGAGTTGAAATAAAGGATGGCCCATCCTCTCAAAATCAAACGTCTGGCAACAATTCGGTTGTACAGTCATTGCTTTAGACTCATCCGCTTTTTGACACGCATACTGGGACAAACATTGCCTAAGTTTTACGCCTGTTTCACACCGCAAGCGTCAGCGGCGCGTGAGCAGAGCTTGCGCAGCGCGTATGTCGAGCAGTAGCAGCACGCAGGCATTTGCCTTTCACACCAGCTGCGTCTGCGGCGTGCAGCTCTTCGGCAGCATCTAGTTACCCGTGTCTCTCTATATACAAATACACTTTTTAAACTTTTCATCTGCACCAAGGCCCCTCCTATGCTGTTTCTTTAACCTGCAAATGTTAATTTTACAAATTTTATAGATCAAATAGTACTGTATGCTTCTCAAGCTAAATTATATGAGAAGTGTCTACTGTCAGAAGACAATCGCCTGTGATATCATGTCATTTGTTTTTTGATTATCAGGTTGCTGTAGACCTAGTTATTATATTATTTATACAGTATAGTTATAATGATATTTATACATGATCAAACTAGTTTTACTTTCTCAGCTTTAGTGATGTCCAGCGGCAGAATAACAGCTCGTTAATTCATGCTTGTGCAGAGGATGAGACGGACAAAAGTAACCAATGCATGCCATTCTTTTACTTATTTTCGTGTTGTCAGATTCAGTGCAAACAGCTCCAGGTAGAAATAACTCGAGTGAACATAGAACAAAGCCGATTAAAACTTTCTTCCTCTGCTCAGCTGCACAGAACACAGCGAGCTCACACAATCCAGCATGCATTTCGAACTACACTACCCACAATACACTTCGCTATGGACTACAAATACCGTAAATATTCTATTTCCCCTCTCCTACAACACTAGTGTGCAACTTAAGCAAAACTGATACTAAAATTGTTTTACATTTGGTTTTGTAGTTCAGGCCTAAATAAATGTTTGTTGCCGTTTTTAATCGTTTTAAGTTAATTTGAATGACTATATATAAACCATTTGACATTATTAGCGCATTTATTGGGTAAAATTGCTACTTTTTACTGTCATTCAATGTGTTTTGGTCATTATCAATGCACTGTCACTTTAATTGAGCGTGAACAGCGCGTCAAAAATAGACAATAGACCCAGCGCCGAAACTATCGCTGCACTGCTGCTTTAGCGACGCTCACGCCTCGCTCTGACGCGCTGCTGCGTGCGGTATGAAAGCTCTAATCTGTTAACATGGACGCCGAAAACACTGCACATCTCGGTGCATTGACGATGCTTTCCATACATAATTCAATTTTTGCTTCACAACACATCAAAAAGCTGTATGAAAATATATAAATATATTAATGTGTATATATTATTTGTAATACAATTTTGTGCTTTAATACAAGCAGTCAGATATATGAACAAGGGCTGCATGATTAATCGAAAAAGATAACGACCCTACACACGATCCTAATTTAGCTTTTTCTACAAATTAGCCAATTATATTTTCAAGGTCTGGAGAGAAGAAAAGGTGGCCACACAAGTCTTCACAGCAACATTGACAACTTCAAATTATGTTAAAAGTGTCACATACTGTATTTATAAGGTAAAGTTCACCCAAAATGTCATTTCTGTCTTCATGTAATGATGTATTCATGGTCGCGAAATCGCACGCGAGCTGACACACTGTTTGTTTACTGCTGAGAATGCCCACATGCACGCATGACGCCTACTTTAGTGAACACAACTTGCATATGCTGTAAATTACAGGTAATAAAGTTGTAAATAACGTTCAGTATGTTGCACAGAGCGATAGTGCGGAAGGCTTGATTTGCATGTATGTGTTTTTTTTTTCTCACAGTGACTGCAACCATGAGCCGCACTCGGATGTGAAAGTTAAATCTGTGCGCACATCTTTTAAATGATCATTTCGCATTTTAGAGTTATGATTACAATAAGCATTTGATATGTTTTTTCTTTAATAGCAAACACAGTGTTGTGGATAAAAATAAATGTTTACTGTGTCAGTATAACCCTAGCCTATATATAATAGAAATATAATGGCCTAATAATGTTGTCAATGACAGATGACAAGCACATGTCTTAAACATAATAAATAAACTTTAAAATTATGAATAGTTATATTCTGATGTCATCATTTTACTGTGAATTAACAAACAGGACATATTGAAAGTCTCTTCAAGTCCACCATAATACAAAATTTTGCATTTTAAGCAACAGTAGACCGAAACATAGGCCTAATATTATTATTGTTGTTTTACCATATGTTTGAGAATTAACAATAATAATAGGCTAATCATATTAAACTTTATTTTACGTTTACAAAATCGTGAGAAAGAATTGTGATCTTTATTTTAAACAAAAAAATTGTGTTTCACATTTTTGCCAGAATCGTGCAGCACTAATTTTTATTAATCACTAATTTTACCTGCTCAAAGAAAACACTCTTTTAGAATGTTTTAAACAAAACTCAAATACATGAAGACAACATGAGCATTTATAGCAAATCAACTAATGTAAATATTATCCAGCTTGCTTTTTGAGCGCTGTCAATCGAGTTCTTACACTCCTATGATTGGTAATTGTCTTTAACCGTTCAACAGAAAGGACTGCGATTAGCTTTAAAAACAGAAGCGCTGTTCACCGATGAGTGATACGGGAAGAACAGCCGTGGTTACAGTCTATATGTGCATAATGCGCGGTTATCACGGGTAATCCGTAATAGATGCAGTGGAGAAAACTCGCACCATGGCACGCTCGTTTCTGGATCAGTCGCGAAGAGAGGAAAAGTTACCTCACGAACACACCAGCGGGTAGGACTGCAACTAACGTTTATTTTAATAATTGATTAATTTGTTTATTATTTTTTCAGATTAAAAAATAAATCAGATAAAATACAAACATCAATTTCCAACCGTTTATTAAAAAAAAAGAAACTCATCCCTGAGCTGTAATGATAATAATAATAATAATAATAATAATAATAATAATAATAATAATAATAAAAATTATAAAATAAAAAAAACAAATAGTTTTGTCCTGTTTTTAATACAAATATTTAATTATTTTAAAATCAAGATACATAATAGACACATGAAATAGGATAAGAAATTACTTCTTGTTTTCTGAAAAAAAATCACATCAACATTAAGTGATTGTTTAATTAAAACAAGTTAAATTATTTGTGAATTGGTTAAGAAAAATAATCTTAAAAAGAACTAATCTCAAACAGAAGTTTTACCAGTTCACATAAACATGTAAGTGATTGTGATCTTTAACGTGAGATGGGTGTCGCCATGTTTACTTGCAGCCATACATTTGCTTTATTCATAAAAAGCAGAACACGTGGGATTCAGCAAGTAAATTTACCAGTTACTCCCCAAATGTATGCGTGAGTGGCTGGTGAACTTAGAGAAGAGCAGATTCAACTTTATAGTTACTTTCACTATGTGTAATGTGTATCTGATATAAATAAAACACCTCTGCAAAATATGTTTGAATGGATTGTTAGACTTCCTTGTGTTTTACAAACTCTAAATATATTGTTTTACTAGTACTTGTGTGTATTTACATGTCTAAAACAAATTAAGTATTAGGCGGTCAAAACGCTGCATAATTGTAATAATATGACACGTATTTCTCAGCGGGGTTAAGTTGGTTTTGTGTTCGAAAAAAAAAAAAATGGAATTTTGCAGCATTTTTCCTTAGTTGTGAAATAGCGGCTCATGTGCTGTATACTACCTTCAGTGTCGGTAAAAGACTGTCCAGTAAACTCACAAGCAGTGAATTTTGGACAATTATCTGCTTTTTTATCGGTAGTAGGAGTGTTTTACTTACTCGTCCTCGCCTCCTTCGCCATATATTCTCCCGTGACATCACTCGTAGGAGATAAATGACATTAGTACGTAATAACCGGTTATGATCTATTAGTACCAAACTGTTATCGAATTGTCTGCATCGCGGTGCACACAAGTCTTTTGCTGAACAGAGCCATCACTTTTGATGCTCATAAATGTTCATGAAAGTCATCATGCTACACAAATTGTGCCTCATTCACACTTGCAGCAGCTTTGCATCTGCCTGTCGCTCTGAATGGCGACCTGTTGCAAATGCAGGTCTGTGTAGGTCTACAGCATCAAGAATACAACTGACCTCTGAGCTTTACTGGTGCTCCTATTGGTTGTAGCTCAAGAAAGTCGCTCTTCATTTGCATAAATCTGATGGATTCCTAAGTTTGTTGCATCGCTCGACATGCTCACCTAGTTGTCAAAGGGCCCTGTCGCCAGACGTCGCTCACTCTCAGTGGATGAACGACCGCTTATCGCTTTGCTACTGCTATTGTGAGTACATCCTTAAAGTTGGAACTAAAGTGTACAGAGCTGCGGCCCTCCTGGAACTGAGTTTGACCCCCTGATGCATGCATGCATGCATGCATGCATGTATGCATGTATGCATGTATGCATGCATGTATGCATGTATGCATGTATGTATGTATGTATGCATATATGTATACTAGGGCTGTGCAATTAATGGCTTCTAACGATTATGAAAAACCATTAATCGAGATAAACAATTTTAGCATCATATAGCCTACCAAAAGCGCGAAAGACCGCGTGCTTATGTTTGTGTGCAACACACGCACACGCATAAGCACGCGGTCAGCATTCAGTCTCAT